ACACACACACACACACACACACACACACACACACACACACACAAGCATTAACCATGTCAGAACAGTTTGACCACTTCATCTGGATCACAACAGGCTCAACTTACTGGAGCTGCTGGGACCACATGTTGGTAAACAACAGGTAAACAAAGGTAAACAACAGGTAAACAAAGGTAAACAAAGGTAAACAACGGTAAACAACAGGTAAACACTAGGGGTGTAACGATACATCAATCTATAGATATATCGATTTGAAAAGTTCGTGTTTCAGTTAAATTGAGGCAAAATGAAAATATTTATCCATATAATCATCACATGCTGGATGTGAATCGATTTCTGTTCATCAGTTATTGTGTTAAATGATATCACATATCGATCACACACATGTGAACTGAATCAAAATCTCATCGTGACAGACTGTGATAGAGAAACATCGAATCGTCATCCAAACATATCGATGTAATATTGTATCGTGAYAAAGCTGGTGATTTACACCTCTAGTAAACAACAGGTTTAAAATAATCATATTTTAAGTCAAAACAGCAGATTTGCTGTATTTATATGACTCAGTCAGTCAGATATGCTGAGTGAGAGTGTTGTAAGATAAGGTGTGGGTTGTGTTTGGTGAAAATATGTACAGAAAATAAGCAGCAAAAAAAAAATCATTTTTTAAAATCTGGCAACCCTGAGATGGGCTTGCTCATGCTCTGATCATGCTGTGGCTTCAGGATCCAGTTACGTCTGAACCTGGGGAACAAACTGAAGTTTGTTAGGACCTCACGTTGTTTTTGTGTTTTTTTCCTAACAGCTACAAAGAGTGAGTAACAGAAACACTCTGCTGTCTGGAATTTATTGTCACTGTTTTTAGCTTTGAAGAAACTCCTGCTGTGTGTCGGCTGTTTGAGCCTGTGTGCTTTCACAGCTGTGTCTCACCTCTACGGGGGGCGTTACTGAAAAGTTCCACTGAGACCTGGTTTCAAGAAGTGCCGGTGTCAGAGAGTCCCGTCACCAGAGACTCCCATCACCAGAGACTCCCATCACCAGAGACTCCCATCACCAGAGACTCCGATCTCACCAGAGACTCCGATCTCACCAGAGACTCCGATCTCACCAGAGACTCCCATCACCAGAGACTCCCATCACCAGAGACTCCGATCTCACCAGAGACTCCGATCTCACCAGAGACTCCGATCTCGCCAGAGACTCCGATCTCGCCAGAGACTCCCGTCGCCAGAGACTCCCGTCGCCAGAGACTCCCATCTCACCAGAGACTCCCATCACCAGAGACTCCCATTGCCAGAGACTCCCATTGCCAGAGACTCCCATTGCCAGAGACTCCCATCTCACCAGAGACTCCCGTCGCCAGAGACTCCCATCTCACCAGAGACTCCCATCTCACCAGAGACTCCCATCTCACCAGAGACTCCCATCTCGCCAGAGACCCCGATCTCGCCAGAGACCCCGATCTCGCCAGAGACCCCGATCTCACCAGAGACTCCGATCTCACCAGAGACTCCGATCTCACCAGAGACTCCGATCTCACCAGAGACTCCGATCTCACCAGAGACTCCGATCTCACCAGAGACTCCCATCTCGCCAGAGACTCCCATCTCGCCAGAGACTCCCATCTCGCCAGAGACTCCCATCTCGCCAGAGACTCCCATCTCGCCAGAGACTCCCATCTCACCAGAGACTCCCATCTCGCCAGAGACTCCCATCTCGCCAGAGACTCCCATCTCACCAGAGACCCCGATCTCACCAGAGACCCCGATCTCACCAGACTCCCGTCGCCAGAGACCCCGATCTCACCAGAGACCTGATCTCACCAGAGACTCTCGTCAGAGACCCCGATCTTGCCAGAGACYCCRATCTCWCCAGAGACGTGTAAATGATTGGCTAGATGGCAACAAATCTGTATSAGTTTCACTGATAACAGCTCCGTGGAAACAGGGCCTGAGACTCAGATCTGTTCTGTTCCTTCAGAAACATCGTTCTCTACTTTTATCTTTTTATGCTACTTTAGCATTCAGCTACTTCTGCCTTGTAGCATTTCATTACTTTGAGCTGTTGGCTAGCGTTTTGCTCTCTGTAGAGTTCAGCTTCTTCAGCTAATCTCTGTTTCAGAATATTTTCTACAAACTGCAGATTCAACAGTTTCCAGTAAAGAGGACGAGTTCGTAAAAGTCTCACATTTTTCATTAAGTCTCGACTTCCAAACTATCTTTGTGTTGCCAAACGAGCCGCTGCTGGCACAGCAACTAGGTCAGACGTGTGCGTGYGTGCGTGCGTGTGTGTGTGTTTAACTTGTGGTGTTGAGTTTCAGGAAGCTCGTGTGGCAGAAAGGACCTCACTGAACCCTCTTTGTGAGATCACTGAAACGTCTCACAGCGAGTGAGTTCATGGATTTAACCATCAAAACCGACCCAGTTCACGTTAGTCTGAAGTCTCAGAACCAGAACCAGAGGAGTTCTCCCCACTGAACGCTGCCAGACGTTGGAAGGCAGGCCAGAACTGGAAAAATGAGTCTGAGCTTTAGATCCAGTGAGGTCCCCCTGAACAAAGAGCTGGCTGGGGGGAGGGGGCGGGGGCGGAGCCTGGACTGGAGAAGTTGAATGAGTGCACGTGAATTTTTGTCATTCCTGGTCCGGGGCCAGCACACAGGACAGCCTCGAAGGCACACACACACACACTTGTTCTGAAAGCCTCACAGGACTCATTAAAGTGGGTGTGTGGGGGTGGGGTGGGGGTGGTAAATGTAGGCCACAAAAACAGAAAAGCAGAAAGCTTGAGAAGAAACAGGAACAGGTCTGTTATTAGAAACAGCATTACTCAGAGCTTGGACTCGGTCACCCAGCAGCTGAGGCAGGATGTGTGAAACATGTCGTCACTCCTCCACAAACACACCGCTCCAGACACACACAGGACGGGTTGATTTTTAAAAACAACCACGAAGACACCAAATACACAACAAACACAAACAGAGAGCTGAACAGCAGCTTCATTATAACGGTTTTATTATTTTCTTTTGTCAGTTTGAACGCTCCTGGTCTGCAGGGGATCATCTCAGATACAACAACACACATCACAACTGTTTGTGTGTCTGCTGGGCTCAGTTAACTGTGGCAGCCATCTTCAGCTTGTCTTCACACATGATTGTGTGACGCTTCACAACTTTCACACTACTGAGATCATTTTACATCTGTATGTTTTTCAGCTTCTAACTCGATCTTTGTGCCGTTTCAACAACTCATCAAAACCTTCGGCTCATTTACGACAATCCTGCTGTGACTTTTGGTGTTTCAGCTCTTTATACTTTTTCAGCTATTTCACTTTAGCTACTTTTTTGCCACTGAAAATGAATGGAGCTGTTTTAAACGTTAAAATCCTTTAAAATGTTTCTAAATCTTTACAGCTCCTCACATTTTGTTCTGCTTCTGCTGTTTTTCACTTGTGCTGATTTCAGATACTTGTTTCTGCTAATTTTAGCTTTTTTCGGCTATTTCAACTAAAATTCTGGTTCTTTTGCTCTTCTGCTTTTTTTGTACTTTTGTGCTTTTTATGCTTCTTACAGATTATAATATTCAGGTATTTGCTGCAATTTTAGCTAATGTTCAGCTGTTTTTAGCTAAAGTTTTCTTGTTCAACCTAAAAACAGGTTTTTTTGTAGCTATTACAACTACGTTCAGCAAACTTGTGCTTTCTTATGCTAATTAAAGAATTTTCAGCTAAATTTTAGCTGTTTTACTTAACATTTTGGCTGTTTTAGCTATTTAATTACTGTCACTTTATTGTACTTTTATGCATTTTTTCTGCTAACATTAAATGTTTTTACAACACTTTTACTATTTTAGTGCTAATTACAACTTGTGGCTGCTATGTTTAGCTTTTTTATTATTTTAACTTTAGATCTGCTTGTTTTTTCTATTCCTGTGTTTTTATACTGTTTGTGTTTTCTTTCTGCTACTTTGTTATTTATGCTTTTTACAGACGTCTTCTGCTTTATTCAACTATTTTAACTTTTAGCTGTTTTTCCTGCTTTTTCAACTACTTTTGCTCCTTTTTACTGTTTTTCTGCAAAGGGATTTTTTGCTTCGTTCAACTGTTCACATCTGAACTCACATCAACACTTCGGCTGTTAAATATTTTCAGCTCAGTTTTAGCAGCGTTCAGCTGAAGTTTTCAGTAAGAAGCGTTCACACGGGTTTTCACTGGAAATGTGATTTCTCTAGTTTAATTTAAAATCTGACAGCTTCTCCTCACCTCACGGACCCGACCCGGCTCTGACAGAACAGACAAAAGGTCATCATCTAAAGTCTGCAACTTCAACACAAAGTTTTATAAGCCCCGCCTTCTCATTAGGCCCGCCTCCAGCACAGACCCAGCTGCAGACACATGGTCACATGAACACATGACTCATCCTACACAAGTCAGAACTGAAAGTGTGTCAGATTTAAATTACAGTCAACAAGCGTCTGGACGGCTCCGCTCGGCCCGGAGAGGTTCTGTCTGGGTTTGGAGCTGAAGGGACGGCACCACGTGAGCTCGCTCCAGACCTGCTGATGACTAATCTGAGACCCGTGTGAGCGTCTGACCGACCCGCCGCTGAGCTGAAGGAGCTCCAGCAGCTGCAGAGGAGACCGCCTGGATCTTCTCACATCACATGGTCCTGGACCGGGACCTCCACGAGTTTCACCTGGTTACACCCTGACTCAGGAACTGCTGCAACTAAACTTACAGAAACAAAACTGCAGTCGGTCTGTGGTTCATGTTTGTGACCCRTCATATCGAAATGAGGATTATTGTATTCATTCATGTACAACACGATCATCACTGTTTCAGATTAAAAAGCATAAAAATATAATCATCAATAACCTGTGTATAACACTATTCTTCATTTTTTGGAGGATCTTTACGGTTAAATTTATTGTATTATACATGAATACATACAATATATTGTAGACAGTTCATTCAAATGATACAATAAGGCATTTATTCATTATATTTTGACAAAATGTCATTTTTGCACTTGTTTAAATCAAAACCCTGTATCTGCCTGTTTCTCCACTTTTAGTAATAATTAGGGCTGTAAGAAAATATCGATACACTGAAATATCGCGATATTTCATTTCCCGATACTGTATCGATATTCTAAAGCCCTGTATCGATTTTTTATTAAGGTTTAAAATGTCAACTTTCCTGCCAGCCGTTCATTTTTATGTTGTAGTTCAGCCTCTGACCACTAGTTGGCAGCAGTGAGCCGACAACTAGTGGTCACAGGCTGAACTACAACATAAAAATGAACGGCTGGCAGGAAAGTTGACATTTTAAACCTTAATAAAAAATCGATACAGGGCTTTAGAATATCGATACAGTATCGAGAAATGAAATATCGCGATATTTCA